AGCCAGAGACCGAGGTCAGGCAGTGGCAGTGAGAGCGCTAAATCCTGGCTACTAGACCACCAGAAACCAGTGGCCAGTGACAAGACCCTGGCCCATCAGCTGTGTAGAAATGAGTTTCCACATAGAGATGGAAAGTAGTGAAACAATTAGTGTTTATTAGGAGGAAAAAAGACTAGAGTACATGTGGACAGACACATGGTGGGCTCAGAGAGAGAGTCACACCACTGTGGTAGTTTCAGTCACTTATGAGGCATTTCTTCCGGGTTTCCTTTGGCCGGTCATATTGCTTTGCCTTGTTCTGAGTCTGCAGTTGGTATATCTCGCGTCCTCCCATGTGTGTATGGGCATCTTTTAGCCAAGGTAGATTTTAGTGAAGAGGCCCATGGGTGGTTGCATCACTTACTATGAGGTGATGCCCCCTCTCTTTTGACCTCCCAAGGAGCCTTTCTATGCATGTGTAGGCTGGGAGGTCTCCTTAATTTCAAGAATGAGGAACATGTGGTCTTTTATCTCCTATCTGGGCAGGACCCAGCCTCCTCTATCATCCTGCATTTATGGAGTTTCTGCTATTATGGAATTCCTGTCCACAGGGCAGAAACTGTCCAGCCTGGGGCCCGTCTATCTCACTCTCTCCCAGGATGCAATGCAGCCATGCAGCTGGATTCTGTACTCTAAGTCCCCCTCATACTCCGCACAGACTTCTCTGACATTGCACTGAACGCGTTGTATCATGAATGTCTGTCTATGGCTTCTTTAGACGGTAATCCTCTTGCTAACAAGGCCTAGGAATTAGTCTTTCAGCCCTAAGCAGGATCCTCCCTCCTTCATGCTAATCAAAGCCTGGCCTTCTGCTTTATTTATCTGCTGATAAATACCTCCATCAGCTCTCTGTTGCAATGAGAATAAAAAAGAAAGTTCTTACTTGAGCTCACACCAACGTCCTTTAGATTTGACTTCATCTGCCTCTCCAGCCCCATGTTTTACCCCTGCTGGGTTTGCCCTCACCCTCCCCTCCCAACTGTCTGCAACAGTTCACTTTGACCTTGTTCATTGCCCTAAACGTCCCCGTGTCCCCCTGCTGCGTGCTCCTACACCAGCCTTGACTCCCCCTTTGCCACTTTAGCACTTACTGATTTAATTGTAACTGGTTCGTGTCTTCTCTGCTAGATTCCTTGACAATAAGAGCCACTTGAGTTTCGCTCCCTCTTCTGTCCTAGCCCAGCATGGAACAGACGCTCAGTGATATTCAATAAATCATGACATCGTGACTTTACAAGCTCTTTTTGTCACCAGGCCATCTAGGGTTATCTAAATGACTGGGAGGAGTTCCACAGGACCAGGCATGGGGTGGGGGGCAAAGGACCCCCCCCAGCTTCAATACTCAACCCAGAAGCTCCGGATGGAAATGCTGGTTTCTAGGTAGTCAGCGGAGGGGGGAATAGGAAGAGTTTTAAGTTCCCAAGGTCTGTCCGGGCTCTCAGGGAATTGCATCCTGAGCCAGGGAGGCTCTCCTGGGAGCACTTCCAGGTGGGGTCAGCAGTGACCCAGCAGGTGATGGAGGTAATGGGAGAGAAGAGTTCACAGTGGAACAGGGGAATGGATTCACGATGAGTGCAGCGGGGCATCTTGACCCATCCTGTGACTAAGAGAGAGTGAACATCCACCGGTTCCCTGCACATCCCAGGGTACTGGGTTCTGGTGGGGAGAGGGCTGAGGAGGGGCAGGCATTCAGGGTGAGGGGCTCCAGCACCATCAGCTTATCATACAACCGCCTTTTTCCTTGAAGGGATTCTTGTCCTCAGGGATGCCTTTAAGAAGAGGGTCGTTTCCTGCTTCGGCCTCCACATAATCCTTGATTTCCTTTCCTGTTTTGGAAATCTGGGAGAAAGCAGAGTGTGGTTCTAGCCCTTTTCTGTTGCTCAGGATTCATGATTTGCTCAGTCCCAAGCAAACAGGTTTCTGAGCAGGGTGGGGATAGAGGCCGGAGAGGAGAAAGGTGAGAGGCACAGGCAGCTGTGAGAGGGGTATGAGTTCCTTGACCAGAACCAGAAAGCCTGACTCTTACCCACGAGGGATATTTGGCCAGGCCCAGTCCAGGGGCCGAGCTGGGCACACCAAGCCCTCCAGGCTCTGAGGTTCTCTCTTGGGCACCTTTGTGGGATCAAACCCTGCCTCCTCCCACTTCCCAGCCCATTCCAGAGGCACCTTTTGCTCTTTTTACTGCCCTGGAAAGGTCCCATCACCCTGCTGTTCATCATGCCTTCTGTTGCGTCCTGTCTCCATGAGGACCAGAAAGGGATAGAGGAGAGGTAGCAGGGAATGAAAGAGGAGGCTCACCAGAGCTCTTGGGTTCTTCACTTCCTTCTTCAGCTGCTCTACCTCCATCTTTAAGAGCTCCTTCTCACTGAGCTCCTGGGCCATCCTGCCCTGGAGAGACCAGGCCCTGGAAAGCATCCACAGCCAGGACTGTAAATCCCCTGGGCACCCCCAGCTCCTCTTCTGTACTCTCCCCATACCTCAACGTCTAACCTCTTCCCTGCTCACCACATATTCTCATCGCTCACCACGGACTCACTGCAGCCCTTGCCCCTACCCCACTGTGAGCTAGGCTCAGGAGGAGAGGATGGGGGAGGCACACACAGTCTTTGCCCTTAGATAAGATCTGTCAATGGAGAAAATGGGGATTGGAGCATGGAGAAGGGAGAGAAGAGCAGTTTCTTTCAGTGAGACAGATTTGGGAAGTAAAGTTATTGTTGCACCTAACAACACAGGTAGTTCATTAGGTGGTTTTCAGGAAAATTCAGGTCCTGTCAGAAGAAAGACTACCCTAGTGATTAAGAGAAAGGCTCTGCAGTCTGCCAGACTCCAATTCTGATTGTGACTTGGCAGCTTCCAAGCTGTTGCTCATCCTCCTTCAACCTTAGTTGCTCATCCTCCTTCAACCTTCGTTTCCCCATCTGCAAAGTGGTATAATAATGGTACCTACCTTACATGATTATTGTGAGGATTAAGAAAATAATAATAATGTATGTAGAATATTTTAACACACTGCCTGACACATAATAAACACATCATTATCACTACCACAGGGTTATCAGGAAGGCCTGCCTGGTGCCTAACCTCAATAATTCTAAGACTAGATCCCAGTCCAGTGCAACCTCAGCCCCTCTCACCTGCCAAGAAAGAGCGTGCACTTCAAGACCCAGACGAAGGCGTTTGAATCTCCTAACTCCTCATCAGCTGAAAGTCTTTAGACAAAGCAGATGGTCTGGAAGCCCAAATCTCTGATGCCTAAGCTGATCATAGGCTCAAGGTTCTAAGCCCATCCAGCAGCTTGAGCCTTCCAGACTACCACCACTGCAGGCAACCTGCCCCACACCCCCCCCCCAAATCAGCCCGTTTCCTATAGTGACCCCTCTGGCTTAGAGCCCATTTCCCCGTTCTTACCCTCCAGCCCTGCCTGCTCCCCTTCCCCAGTCTTTTCTCCCAAGCCCTCTCCTCCCTTACATCTGAGCCTGCCCTGAGGCTATTTCCAATGAGGCAAGTCCTACACCTCCTCCTAACTTCTCTCATCCGAGAAGCCTTTTTGTGTCCCTCACTCAAGCCCCACCATTTCACCTTACAAGGTTCTCCGAGCTCAAATTTCATTCACTCATTCCATGAAAATGTACTCAGGCTGCTATGCCCGTCAGCTAGGGGCCATGGCCACCGCCAACACCTGTGTCCATGCTTCTTGTCTCCATGCCTCCCTCTAAGCCCTGCATACATGTCTAGCTCAGCAGTCCCTGAGCACAGGGCTCACATCCTGATCTCTCTCTTGGTCTCCTCCCAGGACCACCCAAGGGCTATGCCATTTAACAGTCACTGAGCTTCTGCTCAGCCTGACGCCTGTCCAGTAACAAGGGACCCTCTCAAAGAACAGATTTTAAGGGATCAATGTGGTCAGTGAGGGATTGTTTTATTTTCCTGACTTTAGAATGACAGACTCCCCAGTGAGAGGGGCAGGGAGGAGGCCCAGAGTCCCCCCTAACTTCACTTACTCCAGGAATCAAGCCCCATTGACAGCTCTGAGCTCTAAGAGTTTGAGATCAGGACAGGACCCCGGACATCATCCAGTCTGAGTCTCTTGTGAATTCAGGAAATGGAGCACATACCTCCTGAAGCAGGCTCGGTGCTCTGGCCACAGTTGCTTCCTATGACTGACGTGTTAATCTGGAATTTAAACCTGGTGCTTCTCAAAGCCAAGTCCTTCCTGTTGTCTAATCTCAGTCCCTTACACTCCACTTGGACAATTTCATCTTGTCTTGCCTCCACCAGGCACAGAGCATGTACGTACACCAGATCTTCATTGCAGGTAACCCTTCGGAGACTTGATAACACTTCTCAGGGGACCTCTGGTTGTGTCTTCTCAGTGTCCTGCCTGGTTCCTCTGGCTGCTGCATCGGCCGTTTTCCATTGTTGTGGCACCACCGCCCTATGGGCCCCCAGCATGACCCGTCTCCATATCCTCTCCACCCTCCAGTCCCCTGTCTCTTGGTGACTCATCCCAAGCTTCCCAAGGAAACCCCCACCCTCTGCCCTTTCCTCCCCTTCCATGAGTGGAAAATCCATCTCCACCTCCCAGAGCAGGCCAGCCCCCTTCCTCCTGTCTCCCACCCCAGCCCCCGCTGCAGCTTCCTCTCCAGGCCCAGGGAGCAATCACAGCCGCCCCGACCTTGGCTTCCTCTGCTAGGAGGGATTGGGGGGCTGGGCCCCCAAAGGGGCCCCCCCTTGTCTCCCTTCCTCTGGGCAGGCGACAGAGTGGCACAGGCCCAGGGAGTGGAGACTAACTTCCTCTTGTCCCCGCATGAGCATGTCTGCCTCTTGTTAGCAGGTTTGGGTCTCTCACGCAGAGGAAACCAAAAGCAGTAAGAGGGAGGGAAGGCAGAGCGACCAATCAAGGGCAGAGTGAGGTGCAAAACCGGCAGGCTCCCCGGGGAGCCGGGCAGAGGCCGGGGGCCATGGCGGAGCTACAGCAACTGCAGGAGTTTGAGATCCCCACGGGCCGGGAGGCCTTGAGGGGCAACCACAGCTCCCTGCTGCGAGTCGCAGACTACTGCGAGGACAACTACGTGCAGGTAAGCAGAGCGGGTGCAGCCCTGGCACCCCAGCCCCTCCAGGGGCCCAGAGCCCATCCTGACAGGTGCTTGGCCTGGGCGTTGGCTGATCTATCCTCCCACTCCAGGTCAGCTTTATCCCAGACCCTTAAATTCTAATGCGGACTCGTGCTCCCAGGCCCTCCTGTTTCCCAGAGCCTCAGAGATGCCCGGGGAAGGCGATGTTACCCCGTCCTGCTATAGGCCTCACCCCAGGCTCCTCTCATTCCGAGCCTCTCATTCAGATCCAGATGCCTAAAGACTTGTCCTCATATACCTGTTGGTGCCATCATTCCGTGTTCATGCTGGCTCTAGGTAAGACTTCAGAAGAACTTTCCAAACATTGTCTTGAACTTGAGATGGATGAGAGAAAGCTCTGTCCCTGATATCTGAGGGAGAGCTGAGAGATGTCACACTATGTTGGATTAAAGAGATGGAGTTTGACTCAGAGGCAGGGGGATGGACAATATGACTGCATGCAGCAGACTACCAGCAAAATGCAAGGAGAGAGGCATTTTAGAGCAGTTTTCTAAATTGTGGGGTTGTCCCAGGATAGAGAGTAGGTGCTTGGATGAACAGAAGAGGACAGCCTTTATAACGGCCTTGTGAGACAGTATCATTATTCCTATTTCATAGATGAAGAGACAGCAGTTCAGGGAGGCAAGGTGACTTGTCCAAGGTCACATCGCTTGGCAATGGCAGAGCTGGACATCAGCCTAGCCTTCCTGACTTCTGAAGCTGAACTCTCTCCTCTCTGCCTTTCCCTCCCTGACATGCTGTATGATTTTAAGACAGTTTATTTGCATTTGCATTGGGACCTCCCAGGTACGTAGGAGTCAGTGTTGAAAAAAAATAAAAATAAAAGGAGAAAATGCTTATGAGAAAATGGCAGATTAAAGACAGATAATGGTAACAGCAGTTAAAGTGCTTTGCACCTGAACTACCTTCATCGCCCCCTTCAGTCCTCACCCCAGTCTGTGAGGGGAGGACCATTCCCACTTCACAACCAGGAGGCTGAGCTTCAGAAAGGTTAACTTACGTTCCCAGAGTCTCCAAGCTAATGGTAGAACCCGGATTTGAACAAGCAACTTTGACTCCACAGCATTCCCCCCCAAACCTCTAGTTGAAAATGCTACTCCCACTGTAGATATTGAATGACTGTGGGTACTGCAAATGAGCTGGAATGTGGCTTGTGAACTAGCTGCATCCCCCCAGCACTGGAAGGCAAGCTCCTCCTATGGACTAGGATGGAGGCTCTCCTTCCCATTCCTTCAATAACTTCTGCGCATCTCAAAGCACTTCTGGATGGGTTCTCATTTGCACACACGGTGTGCACACAGAATTTGAGGTCAGAAAGAACTGAGTTCAATTTCCAGCTCCTGGACATGGGGCAAATTTCCCTTGTGATTCTTATACCTTTTATCACAGTGGTTACATGGGTTAAATGTAATAATGTATTAGCACATTTAGCCCAGTGTTTCTCCCTTAAGAAGGGCAGGATAAATGGCAGCTGTTACCATCATCATCATCTTTCATCAGATGGATGAAAGACAAATATAGATATTCAAAGTTAATTCTAGTGAGGTGAAGCAGCCCTTGCAAAAACCCTCAGGGCATCAGAAGCCCTGACTCAGGTCAGAATCCTTGGATTTCAGCTTCCTTCATGCAGAACACTAACTACTAGACCACAGAACCAGTTACCTTTTCTGACTTCTCTGAGGATTTTCTGAGGAGCAAGCCTAGGAAGGATTTAGATGACTTCTCAAAGCTAGTCTTAAATAAGACCTGGTTCCCACGACCTCCCCCGCTTCCTCACACTGCCCCCTCCATCTCAAGCAGGTGTCAGGAAACCCTTGGGGAATGGGGGAGGACAGGCTGGGGTCAACTGCAGAGTTCTCTGTCAGGGTCCACTGAGTTTGTAGACAGGGTAATTTGCATGATGAATAAGCAGTCAGCCATGAAGATGGATCCCAGACCTTTGTTTCTCTAGACCTGACTTTGGGTCAAGACCAAAGCCAGGGGTCGGTAGGCATCCAGGCTCTGTACCCCCAGAGCTGGGCCCAAGCAGACATGTTTCCTGTTTGGACTGACAGGAAAAATCCAGTGATGAATTCCACATGCCAGTCCAGGGAGGGGCGAGTATAAGAGAGGCCGGCTCATACAGAGGAGTAGTCACTGCTCCATTTTGGGCCTTCGTTTCCTCACCTACTAAAGGACAGTCTTGAGCTAAAATTAGACCTTAGACCTGTTATTCTCTCTGGATTGATCTCTTTGCCTTTTCAAGGCACTCAGTTATGTATGCTGGTGAGATGTAAATTGGATGCAAATAAACATTTCTTAGCCTCGATTGGAACAGAAAGGCATGGAGAAGCACCTGAGAGGAGAAGGTTCTGGGCCCACCTTTTGGTTCAAGTTTCATTTGGGCTACACTGGATGCTCCCAGGTCTCTTTGAGCACCCTGCTTAGATAGGTTCTAGGTCTATTCTCCACTACAGGACCTGGGGAGCAACTGAGGCCCCTTAACAAGGAGACCTCAGGGTGCAGCCTTACTGATCAGTCTGCTGGCCTCTCCCCGGACTTGCCCTGGATTGGCCCCTACCCTCGTGTTCCAACTTGAGATGAGGAAGCTGCCTGGGGAACCAAATGACTAGAGAAGCAAACCCTCTTCAGTCTTCAGACACTCCCTGTCCACCCCACCACCACTGCCTGGAAGTGTGGCCCTAGCCAGCACCAGGCACAGTGCCTGGCATGCAGTAGGAAGATGCCCAGCAAGTGTTTGTGTTTGCATTCAACCCACTGATTAATTCACAAATGCATATTCATCAAGTTTCATCTGTATGTCAGGCACTAACTATTCCAGGATAGGATACAGAGTAAAACAGATGAGCTCCCTGACCTCATAGTGCTTACATTCTAGTGTGTGTGGATGTGTGTGTGTGTGTGTGGAGGAATAGATAATAAAGTACACAGATAAAAAATTTCAGATGGTACTAAGTGCTATGAAGAAAACAGTAAATCTAATACAGAGTCAATACAGAGGTGGGCGATCTTAGGGTGGTGAGGGCAAGTGTCTCTGAAGACCTGAAGTATAACAAGTGCAACGGCCCTGAGGTACAAGCAATCTGAGCTTGATCAGGAACTGAGACTCAACAGCCAGTGTGGCTGGAGGACCATGAGTGAGAGGGAGAGAGGAAGGGGATGAGGGTGAGGAGAAAAACAGGAGCCAGCCCTGTGGGACCCTATATAGGCTGCGGTTACATAGGCTACACTTCCCTGGTGGCTCAGAGAGTAAAGAATCCGCCTGCAATGCGGGAGACCTGGCTTTGATCCCTGGGTCAGGAAGAGTCCCTGGAGAAGGGAATGGCAACCCACTCCAGTATTCTTGCCTGGAAAATTCCACAGACAGAGAAGCCTGATGGGCTATAGTCCACAGGGTCACAAAGAGTTGGACACAACTGGGCAACTAATACTTTCACTATATAGGCTACAGTTAGAAGTTGCTTTAGTCTACCCCTTCTGGGCTTCAGCTTCTTATCTATAAAATGGACTAAATTATTGGTTCCCAAACACCACCTTGCAGATCAGAGCTAAGCCAGGAGCTCAGGAGTCACCTAAGGAGCTTTTAAAGGTACAGATTCACTGGCCGCATGCCCAGGGGATTCTGGTTAGAAGGTCTGGGATGAGGGCCTGAGGTTGGTTGGTTGGTTTTCAAGTCCAATAATAATCTCTTCCAGCTGGTGTTGACTTCCTCTTTCCTTTCTACTGTTCACCATTTTCCAGCCCCCTAAAAAAAAAATCACCTCAGGAGGGTGGTAGGGCTAATCCTCAGTGTGACTATCTGAGAAGGGTATCTTTTCCTCCCCTTGGATCCAGTCCCCAAGGCCGCAGATTCACTTTCCTAACACCCCTTGAGTCCTTCTTATTGCGTCATTCTTACAGACACCTCCTCAAACATCTGACAGTAACCGCTCTCTCCCAACTCAGCCCCCATCTTCTTCATACCCTATCCCATCCCAGCCCACCCAGCCAAGGACCCAGTGGAACATGCCAGGGCTGTGTGTATTTCAGGCCACTGACAAGCGAAAAGCGCTGGAGGAGACCATGGCTTTCACCACCCAGGCCCTGGCCAGCGTGGCCTACCAGGTGGGCAACCTGGCTGGACACACCCTGCGTATGCTGGACCTTCAGGCGGCTGCCCTGCGGCAGGTGGAAGCCCGTGTGAGCACACTGGGCCAGGTAAGAGCTGGGGAAAGGCTGCTCGCCTCAGCCCCTAACTCTTCAGCCCCACCCGGACTTCTTCTGCAGCAAAAGTTCTTTCCTGCCTTCCTCTACATCCACAAACACCCACCTCTATCCCAGAAAGTTGGCACTTGCCAAGTTTTTTTGAGCTTCCTTGCCTCTTCGGACCAGGAGCTCCCTGATGGCAGAACTCTTTCTGAATTCCTTCCTACATGATAGAAAGCAAGCTCTCCCCGTCACAGTGGCTACACAGCACAGAAACGAGGCAAATGGACCTTGTTTTCATCTAAACACAGGTGGTGACTTTATAAATATCCCAAAGTCAGACTGCTTGCTTGGCAAGGTCATTCTCGGCCCTGGAGGCACTGCCACCACCACACAGAGCCCCACCCCATCTCGCATATACACCCTCCTCCTTCCTTCCTGAATCCTTGGCCAAGGAATTACCCCATAAACCACATGCACAGAGCTCCACATCAGCTTGGCCTGTGCATCACTCGCACATTCAGTGTGTGTCTTTTTCTCTCACCCCAGTGGACTGAAGTTCCCACCCTCTCAGAGATGTAGGTTTCTCCAAAGAACATTCCAAGAGGAAGCTGATTCACTTATATTGTCCCCCAAGAGGGAGAGCTGGTTCAGCCTCGATTCTCAGCCACCTCCACGTTATCTCCCTCTGCTCCCAAGCTGGCCCAGCCTCTTCCCAGCGCCCCTTTAAGGATGCTGTGTCTCCCTGCTCAGCTAATAATGACCCTTGTTCTCTTCCACCTGAAGTTGCTCCAAAGTGGCTCCATCCTCTGCTGGCAACTCTTCACCCAAATGCTGTGCGACCTTAGGGACAAAACTCACTCTTTCTCTGCACCTTGCTCCCTCCCGTGGCCTCTCCCCCTCCCCAAAGTCTTAAGGGAAAGAGCGCCGTCACCTCCAACTCTGTCACACAGATGGTGAACATGCATATGGAGAAAGTGGCCCGAAGGGAGATTGGCACCTTATCCACTGTTCAGCGTCTGCCCCCCGGCCAGAAAATCATCGCCCCTGAGAGCCTGCCTCACCTCATGCCCTACTACAGGAGACCCCTCAACTTCAGTTGCCTGGATGACATTGGCCATGGGATCAAGGTAGAGAGAGGGGCCCCTCCTCTTTCTTCACAGCACACACTGTTTTTTTAAGGCCACACTTCATGGGGATCTTGTTTCCCCAGTCCATGCTCCATGCAGTGGAGGCGCAGAGCCCTAGCCACTGGACCACCAGGGAAGTCCCCCCACCCTCTCTAGATCCTCAGTTCTCTTCCAGGACCATGTTTTTGTCCCACCCTGCAGCCCCTTTCCTTCCTCATTCCCTGAAGCCATCGCCCTAAGTGGCTCTGCTGCTCCCCAGGGGGCCCCCTTATAGGAGAGGGGGCTCATCTTCTTCCTTCAAAATTCATCATGACCTTTCTCTTAATAACTGACCTTTACCCTTATCACACGACCTGCTGAGAATGCCATCTGGGCTCACACATACACACTTGTAGGTACAGGATGGGGGTGTGTGTGAAGGGGAAGAGCGGAGAGGGAGGATGTCAGGGCGCATGAGAATGGTTCCCCAGCCACATGAGAACAGCAACTTCCTCTGTCTGGAGGTTTGAGGTCACTGTGCTGAAGTCACCCAGAGTTGCTGTTGGGTGGGGAGGGCGGGGGATGTAGGCACTCAAATGAGGACATGGTGAAGACGGGCATTTTCTTCTCAGTCCACCTCCTTCTGTGAGGTGGGAGAGGACACACCCTTAATCCCATTTTATCCATTCCTTGTCCCCACACTTCAACATTCCAGATTAGATTGGCTGCTCTCCTGTATATAAATGGCCCCTTGATTTCCTTAACACAACATCTCCCCCTAAAACAGAAAGCACACTCCCTCCTTCAGTCACCAGGCCCTCTTACCAGTGAGTGCTTCCTTTTATCCAACCTAAATTCGTTATGCCTGAGTTCAAGTCCCTTTTGTCTTATCCCTAGGGGAGGATAGCAGGGGACATCATTCCTCTTGTACCCATTCTTGGGGAAATTCCATCACCAACTGAAGTGCTCTCTTGCACCTGAGTGCACAGCTTGTCACTTGTACACTCTGTACATTCTGCTCCTCTCTGCCCTGAACTCCCCAAAGCCAGTTCCTCAGGCCCTCGAAAATGACAGGTGGGAGGTTTCTACCTCAACCTCTACCGCCTCAGCCGTGGGCTGGATTTGGGGTTTCTCAGAGTTAAGGCCCACAAAGCTGAGCGCTCAGAGGCTTTGGGCGAGAGTGGGGCTCAGCTGCTGAGGCCCTGCAAGAGGAAGTGGCCTGCAGACCCTGTCTGCCTGAGACTATGGCAGATTTAAGGCCTGGTCTGCCAAGAGCAAGACTGAGGGGGGTGGGGTGGGAGAGCAGGCTGGGAAGTGGAAGTCGGAACTTGCTCTCCGTCCTCCCCACTCTCCCAGTTCTCATCTGCCCCTCCCCATTTCCTCTCTGGGATGGAGGGGGGCTGTTGCTGGCCCCTATGGGTGTCAGCCCCTGCCCCCTGCTCCCCCGCCCCCCGCAGGATCTGAGCAAGCAGCTGTCGCGGACCGGGACCTTGTCTCGTAAGAGCATCAAGGCGCCTGCTACTCCCGCCTCTGCCACCCTAGGGTGAGGTCTCCCCACAATCCTAACCTGCCCCCCTCCTTTCCTTCCCCTCAACCAGAAACTACTCCCCACCACCCGCCCCTTCAAGCCAGGCACCAAACTTCCTCCTCCAACTGCCTCTTCTCCCCGAACCAACTCCTGCTCGCCTGATGCCTTCTCCCTCGACGTCACCCCTCCTATCTCCCCACCCCAGGAGAGCGCCCCGGATCCCTGAGCCCGTGCAGCCCCCCGTGGTGCCCGATGGCAGACTCTCCGCGGCCTCCTCTGCCTCCTCCCTGGCCTCGGCTGGGTGAGCCCCACAGGTTTTAGGTTGGGGGTGATCGTGAAGGTGGATTAAGACTGAGGACCACAAGGGCGGAGCTTGTGATTGAAGGGGTGGGGTCAGTTGGGGTACTGAGTTAGGAAGTGGTCCCCCAATTTAGCAAAGCCCCTTTCTCTCTGGTCTTCAGCAGCACCGAAGGTGTTGGTGGGGTCTCCATGACCAAGGGGCAGGCAGCCCCCCCACTGCCACCCCCACTCCCCCCTGCTGCCCCTGACTTCTTCCCGATACCCCCTTCGTTGGAGAAACTGCCTCTGCCCCCACCGGGTAAGGAGCCCCGCCCCCCCCATCTCAACCTTTGGGGTCGTTTTCTCACCTCTCGATACTTCCCACCCCATCTCACCCCAGTTGGATCCAACTGGGCCTATGTCAGTGAATACTTTGTCCAAGGTAGGACAGGAAGAAAGCAGAGGAAGCAAGTTAACATAATTTAGCCCCTGCTTTTTACCAAGTCAAAGCTTCTCATCCATTTTCTTGCTTAAATTTGACCGCTTAGGATCTTCACACTCCCATTCAACAGATGAAGAAACAGCCTGTGAAGCTAAATTAAATGACTTGCTCAAGGCTTGCCCAGCCAAGTGGCAGAGTCTGATCACCCTACACTGTCCAACACTGCTGTGTTTACTGAGCACCTGCTAGAGGCACTTGTGGGAGGAGCAGGATGAACAAGGGCTGCAGGCAGGGAACATCGAATGGGTAGATCCCGGGGCCCTGCTCTCCAACAGGGAAGTTTCTTGGAGTGGATGGGGTTGCGGTGTCACACTTGCAGGCTTTCTGCTTCTTTCCCAGCCCCAGAGCTGCCCATGCCCCTCGACCTGCCCCCTCCTCCACCCCTGGATATAGATGATCTGGAGCTGCCACCTCCACCCCCACCGGGCTTTGGGTCCGAAGAGCCCAGCTGGGTCCCTGATGCGTACTTGGAGAAAGGTACTTGAGTCCTGGGACTGAAGGACAACAGATTGTGGGGTCAGGTTCTACCCACTCTTCTAGCCCAGAGCCATTCTCCCTTCCATTTGCAAAGGTGTGACTCTGTTATTTCCCCCCACCACACACCCACACAGAAAAGCAGCTGGCCTGATATTGAGTATTAGCTCAGCTGGGGAGGAGCCCAGAGCTTAGAAGAAGGCATCTCCTGCCCCAGTCCCCCTGGTGCTCCCTAGAGTGCAGTGTGTGGGCCCCAGCATCCCAGGGTGCAGCAGGAGGCACATCTCATGGCACCCTCCCCTCTCTCCCTCCAGTGGTGACACTGTACCCATACACCCGCCAGAAGGACAACGAGCTCTCCTTCTCTGAGGGCACAGTTATCTGCATCACCCGACGCTACTCTGATGGATGGTGTGAGGGTGTCTGCTCCGAGGGGTCTGGATTCTTCCCTGGGAACTATGTGGAGCCCATCAGCTGACAGCCTGGTCTCTGCAATGCTGACTCAAGCACTGCCTTGAGTGAGCCTGAGTCCCACACCAAAGCCAGCTTCACTCAAGACTGGACCAGGCTTGCACACCTCTGGGCTGTTAACTGTTGTCTGTCCCTTCCCCCCATTGCAGTGGGCAGGGGTCCTGGGAGAGGTACCCAGAAGCCTGCTAGAGACAGGAAAGAACTGGAAGCCAAGGTGTTTGGTGATCTTATCCACAGGGGACCCTTGGACCATGCAAGACAGGGTCTCCAGCTGCAGGTGCCAACTTGGAATAAAACTGGTGACCTCTTGATGATTGCCCTTCAGGATGGGGGGCGGGGTGTGCCAAAAGATTGAAAGGTAGCCTGGTTTTTAGGCTCCCACTGAATGACTCACTTTGCCTGCCCTAAGCGGGAATAGCTCCCATCTCCTCCCAGCTTGAGCCCTCTCCATGAGACCCTTGTGCCGCTCTGTGAAGACGCTGCATCCTGCTCTTTAGCCTGTTACTTGCTTTATGCAGTCAGTCTTGGTTCCCCTAACTGGACTCTCCTCCAAGAGTGGGGTCCAGCTCCCTCACTAAATGGGGCTTTCTGAGAGATCATCTCACCCTCATCCCTCAGACTGCGGCGCGAGAGATCTCAGTCACCTCCGCCCCTTTACCGCCTTTATAGCTCTGAAACACCAAAAGAGGAGGGGGTTGGGTTTCACTGGCTCTGCTTTTAAAACATCATGGCTTTCTGTTCCATACGGGAGGGGAGGGGTTCAGAGGGTCCAGTCGGCGGGGCGACTTTGGTTAAGTCCCTGGTTTCTTGCTGCATAGAAGAGGCTGGGGTGCGAGGAGGAGACGTCGTCGCGTTCTCTGAGGTCCCTGGCTGGCCGGACCCGAGCCCTGGACCGTGTGCTACCTCATTCCACCACCAGGAGGCGATTGTTCCCTCTGGGATTTCTTCCTGTGGGAACGCTGACAGCGTGCGTGGGGGGAGGCAGGAGTGTAGTGTAGGGTCACAGAAGGTAAAGCAAGACCTAGGCCTGAGACTGGCGTCGGTGGAGAGCACCATCTCTCCGCGGGGGGTCCGGGACTGAAGGGGCGGGGGGAGGAATTTCAGGACCTGGGTCCCCCTGACAGAAGTCTAGGGGAAGGAAGTCATGCGGCCCAAGGCAACAGTTAATGCAACACAGCGGGAGATGTTCCTTCTCTACCCTGCCAGGCAAGCCCTTTCCCCCAGTTGGGAAGGGGCAAGGTTTTTGGAAAACACTGCTGCCTGCTTGGGTCTGCGCACCACCCTGGTGGGGCCAAACTCTAGAATTGAATCGCTTGCAGTGGAACTGGGGGAGACAGCCAAGCTGGGTTAACTGCATAGACGGGGACAGCTCCGAACTCTCTCCTCCAGCCCCCCAAATGGACGAGCTCCGGATTCCGGAAATTCCCGGAGGGACCCACCAAAACGAAAGGGAAAGGGACTAATAAAACTAGGTTTGTCTTTCCCTGTCCCCAGCCCCCTGGCCCCCTTCCCGCCGGGCGCCCCCTGCAGGCCGCGTCCTCAGCACGTCTTCAGCACCTGTTGCAGATGGAGGCGCACTTCGGTGGCATTTTCCCAGGGTACCACGCTGGCGCGGAAGGAGCTGGGCTCAGCCTTCTGTGCCTCCTGGATAAGGCGGTGCATGGGGTAGCCGCGGCGAGGGAAGGCCACATCGCCACCGGCCAGCAGCCCCATGGGACAGAAGTCGTTGGCGCCGTCGCCCACGTAGAAAAGGCGCTCGAAGTGCACGCCGTCGTGGGCCCGCTCGCGCAGGTAGTCGCTGAGCACCTTGTGCTTGCACATGTTGGCGGGGCAGCGCGCGCAGCTGTGTGAGTGGAAGGGCCGCAGCGCCAGCAGCCCCCGAGCGTCGGGCCCGGAAGGGTTGCTGAAGATGCGGCGGAACAGGCCTTGGTGGCCGGCGGCGCGCAGCGCGCTCTCCACGCCAAAGGTGTTGGCGTCTGAGATGAGAATAACCTCAAAGCAGGAACCCTGCTTGGCCACAAACTGCAGCAGTTCGCCCATACCGGGCGACAGCGGGATGGACTCGTAGACCACGCGCAGGTCTCGCGGCCGCACGCCCTGGTCGCCCAGGTACTGGAAGACGCGCTGCATGTACTCGTTGTAGAAGCCCTCGCGGTAGGTGGCACGCAGGCTCTCCGGGAGCCGCTGGCCCGGCGCCGCGCGCACGATCGAGTCGTCGCTGTTTTCGTCCACGATAGTCTCATCAAAGTCGAAGGTCAGGAGGAAGCGCGGCGAGCCCTGCGCAGCCATCCCGCCGTCCTGGGAGCACGGGGGAGAGGAGCAGGAGGAGGAGGGAGCAAGCGATAGGGGGCGCGGCAGGAGCCGGCCCGGGAGAGGCAGGTTAGTGGGCCACGGCCAGAGATGCTGGCACATCGAAGACCTGAGGAGGACCCAAGGCTGGTTAAGCTGGTTAAGCAATGCCGGCGTCCCCACCCCTGCCTTCCCTGTCCACCCTCTTGCACTTCTGTGTTAACTGCTCTGGGTTTCATCCTCAGGGGACCATCCTCCTGAACCCTTAAGAGGTTTGGCACCTTTCTTCTAATCTCATCTGGGGCCATGGGGGCTTAACCGAGGTTCAGGAAGAGTGGAAGAGCAGCTTCCAAGGGGTCACTCCGTTGGGAACGTTTCTGGACTAGACCATTCTAGAGATTTCCAGTGACCCCTTGTTGGTGGTGGACACAGGGAAGGTGGGAGGGACTCTCCACTCCTCTTCCTTAACATAGTCAAGGGAAACTATTCATTCATTCATTCATTCATTCATTCATTCAACTGGAGCAGATTCGTCATTCCACTTTTCAGCCATGTAGAGCCGATGGCTTGTAGGACTGTGGTGGACAGTAGAAGCCAGGGAAGACTTGTTGGCACTACCCAAGTCATGTGGGCAATCAGTGCCAGGCCTGGAGAGTGAGAAGCCCAATGCCTGGGCTTCTGCATTGGCCAGAGAACTGGATTTTAGCTCTTGGAAGAACCAGGTAGGTGGATTGACCACCCCAAAGCCAGGCAGGCTCTGTGAGCTGCTTCCAGCCAGGTGGCACTGGGCAGGGGTCCAAGGAGGGGACACAGCTTCTCTGGGGAGTTTTAGGGCCCTGTGCTGACAGCTCATCACTAATCACTTGCCAATTCCCTGGGAAGAACTTGTCAGCAGATGGGGTTTCTGCCAGAGTCCGAAGCAAGCGGGCAGCAGGAGAAGCAGTGGGACTTGGGGAAGTAGGAGCCTCCCGCACCAGGCCACGACATACCTGGGAGATAGGTAAGGAAGAGGAAAGAGAGCAGCAGTGGCTGAGAAGGCAGAAGGAGAGGTGGGGGGGGCATGGTTGGGGTGGAGGGGATGAGGAAGGAGTGGGGAAGAAGAGGGCCAGGAGGATGTCATGCTAGGGGAGCACAGGGCAGAGGGATAGGAAGAGTGGGGGTGGGGAGCTCCAGGAAGTCAAGACCTTGGGATGCTCATGTTAATGGGGGATAAGGGAGAGGATGCAGAGCAACATGGCAAGGGTGAGGGCATGAAGGCAAGCATATGGACAGCAGAAGCCCTCTGCAGCTTGCCCCTGCCATGGAGGGACAGCAAGCAGACTGCACAGCTTCAGAGTATCATTGTGCTGTCTTTCTCCCTCTCAACCTTCCACCCCAATTAGTTGAGACGAAACCACTCCTCTTTCAGGTTTCTTTCTAACTCCCTTTCCAATATTCCTGTGATGTTTATGGCCTGGCACATCCTGTAAAATGGAGGTCCAAGGCTCCTAACTTCTGAGTTGGGATTTGAACCTGGCTATCTACCTCCCTAGCAGAATCGTCCCTTTAACTTCATGCCTACAGTCACTCTCTGGTCTCACCAACATCTATCCAAGTTTCAGTGGCCCAGGATTCTTGGAGTTGAGGATATAAAGCATCAGGGCCCCACGCTTGGGATGGAAGCTTCCAGGGATTAGTGGGGGCGCAATAGAGGTGAGAGCAGGCTTAAAAGAGGCTGGATAGGGTGCCTCCCACCCCATGATGGGAACAGGGAGCTGAGGCCTCATCCTAAGAGACCCCTGGAGGGACCCACTTACCCTAGACAGGCATCGGAGGCCAGCAACTGGAAAACACCCGCTCATTGTCAGTACATCACCCTGAGCACCACCTGTAGGGATTGTTGGCCTCCAGCTGTCGGTCCAGAGCTCCTGACAACCATACAAGGTCCATGTGAAGGTGTCCAGTCAGGTGGCTTTGTTTCCACACTAACATCCACCTGATCCTATCCCCTCTCCTGAGCCCCAGGAACCACTCAGTAAAAACAGCCCATCAAATAAGCTGAGGACCACAAGGCCCTTGCTAGGCATCCTCTTAACAATCCCTCATGATGCTGGAAAGGTTACAGATATTATTGAAGACCTAGAAAGGGTAACCAACTTGTGCAAACATCACCCACTATATATGGCAGAGACAGATCTCAAAACCAGATCTCAGAATCTGAGACCAGTGTTTCTTTCTCTATATGTTCATTGCCCCTTTCCTGTGTATGGTACATCATGGTTTACAAATCAGCTTCACTCATATTCTGTCCTTGCTCAACACAATTCCATGGATTCAGCAGATGAAAAGCACTCAAGAGATTAAATAACTTGCCCAAGGCTACCATGTTTCTATTGGGCAAAGCCTGGTTCATGAACACTTGGCCACAGCCTTGCCTGCCCTCTGTCCTCAAAAGGGAAGAGGCAGATGCCCAGGGCTGGGCATCCACTGCAGCTGGAGGGCTAGGACCCCTGGGTACCACAGGTGATCTGATCGAGGACTGTCTCACTCAATGATGCTTCTAGAGACTGGCAGTCCGCCAAGAGTCAGGTTGATATTTCTGCCAGATTTTTCTATGTGACTTTGGGGACAGGATTTGGCTTCATGGGGGCTTCACCAGTGCTGCTTCAAACCTACAACTCCCAGTTGCTCCCCTCCACCCTGGGTTTAAATGAGAAACTAGATGCAGCTGGGACACATCTGGACCACTACTGTGAGCCAGACTAGACCGGGGAAGGAGCAAACGTCTGGCCGGCTGCTGCCCTCTGGTGGTAAGAGTGGGTTGACACTGGGTACCCCTCTGACTTTGTCAAGGTGACTCTCCCCAGACCATCCCAGGACAGCAAGGAAAATCAACAGCTTCTCAAGAAAGAGACTGGGACTTTGCAGGAGCAGGCCACCAGTCAGAGGAAGGGCTCCCTCCATCTTGAGGTACCCCATCTGTCCCCACTCCCTGGCTACTCATGGAATGTGGGTTTCAGCCTTTTCCCTAAGAATTTGTAGTCTAGGAATCTAGTTGTGGCCAAAGCTGAATGGGGCAGTGGACAGAAAGAGGGAAGGGATTGGGAGAGGAGACACAGGTCAAAAAAATGGGAGAGAAGGGGAGGGAGGCATGTGAGGTAAAGGGCGGGCATGTTTGGGGGGTTAGAGGTGGGAGGGTGTCCCCAGGTCCCATCTAGATGGACTTTCAGCTTCCAGAATCCTGGCTGATATCACATGTCCCCCAGGGGACAGGTGAGTCCAAAGAGGAAAGGTCAAGGGATGCCACACCCCTTGTAAAAGCAAACATGGACAGACACATGCCAGGCAGATATGAAGATAAAGGGTCTCCAGGAATCACACAGAGACCAGCTTTCATTGCTTTGCCCTTGGCTCTTTTTCTTTTTTTTAATTTGGTGGAATAGTCTACTTGTTTTTAATCATGCTCAAAACTTCTCGCAAAAGTTAGGTTCTTTTCATCTAATACTACTATTCAGGGAAATTAGATAAATGTTTATTGTTGGTGAGTTGCCCTTGTTTGTTTTAGTCCCCAGAGCAGAAAGCCGGACAACCTGGATTTCTTCCCCTCGAAATTGAGAAGGCCATGCTGCAACACCCACCCCTACCCCACAGTAGTCAAAGGCACCCCAGGCCCCACTGAAATCTGGCTCTTGGGACATTCAGAGAGGTCACTCACCTCTGGAAGCTTTCTCCTGAGTGACTGAATCCTCTGTGGTCACCAAATAGAGTCTCTCAGAGGAAAGGGGGACAGGACCTCTGAGTTTTTCCAGCCGGCTAGAGCAGAGGACAGAAGGGTTTCATTGGGCTGGCAGGGAGTCCATATTCTAGTTCTACCTAAAACCAGTGTTTCCCCCACCCCCCACACCGGCCCCTCGCACACCTGCAGCTTTTTACACAAGTGCTGTTACATTATATCCATGGGAATAGGATGGGAGGACACCTTTAGGGTAGGGGAACAAAGTTTGAAAATTCCCATTAATGGATGGTTGGAGTCCAGAGAGAAGTGTTCCACAAGAAACTTCGGGATAAGGATGTGGCAGGGACAAGGATCCCAGAAATACTACAGTAACAAGTCCTCTGCTCAAGACCAGGTCTCCTAGTATCAATCACTAGAAATCACTTTCCACCAATTGGAATTCTCCCCCGCCCCCAGACAGCACTCCCAACTTCACTGTGGTTTCTTCCTTGGTCCCTTCCTTCACCACTAGCAGTGAATAAGGAAAACAAAAGCCCAGAGGGGTCAAGCTAACATCCTGGGTCACACAGCATCAGAATCAGGATTAGAACTAGAACTCAAGGGTCTCTGCTGCCTCTTGGGAAAACTGCAGCCAGAACTTCTTCTGTTGCCCTGGAGACTCCCCTGGGTTGTGAGTTTGTTGTCCTGACAGCTGGGTTGACGTCCTGGAGCTCTGGTGGACCAGGAGTCACCTCTGTTTCCCTGCCTGGGTAGACAAGCTAGGAGGGGATCTTCAGTGGGCAAGGAGGTGGCAGCTGCCGGTGGAGTCTGGGGAGAGATATTTTTAGAGGTGGCTGGGAAGCAGGCACTCTGGCACACCCCCAGCTGGCCGGTGCTTCGCTCCAGTGCGGGGCGGCGGGAGGGGGGGCGGGGCGGGGGACAGTTCGGGAGCCCAGGGGACTCGTGGGTGGCGGGGAGCAAGGGAGCACGGATTCCTTCGCCTTGTCTGTGTCGGGAATGGAGCATAGCCGGACACCTAGTCCCTTGGGTAGGAGAGGAACTCATTCCTCCGCTCCAGCGACTCCCCCACGGACACGCGGGTGAAGGAGCGCTCTCAGACCCAGCGCAGCCCCCACCCCACGCTGGGACCCCAGCCTTCCCCTACCTCGGCGAGTCCAGGACTCACGTGGGAAGCGGCGGCGGCAGAGGTCTGTCCCGGCTGAGTTTGGAGTGTGAAGAGTAGGGGGACACGGGCTAGCTGAGGTATTTGGGCTCAGGATGGAGCAAGGGGTGCTTACGGGAATTGGAGGGGATGCGGTGTCTTATCCACCCCCGGATTTCTGGGCTTCGGCTCTCACGAGTCCCTCCAGTCTGGAGGAGCCGTGGATGATGTGCGCCTGGGCCGTCCCCTCCACTTGCCCCCCATCCCCCCGGGCCGCCGCCGCGTCCCCTTTAAATACCCGGGAGCCGGAGCCGGAGCCGCGGCTGGCGCTGCGGCTGCCGCAGCACCGGAGCCCACCGCAGTCTCCGCACGTCACAAGCGGTTGTCCAATCACAGCGGCGTCGGAGCACATCAAAGGGGCGGGCCGCCGGTAGGCCACGCCTCCCGGCTGCTCCACAGGCTCCCGGAGCGCGAGCGAAGGTGGGATTGGGCGCCGCCGGGAAGGGTAGGAGGGTGAAGATGTAGCGCATCCCTTCAGAGGAGCGTGGGTGGGGGGCACCCTCATTAGAGCGGCTGCTGGGCTCCACGTAAGTCCCGCCCACACACCTGGAGGTGCCAGGGCAGTGGACTTTCTCCACCCCCGCCTCCAGAGCTCTGATCCCCGGGACTTGCAAAAATGCACCCCCACCTCCAGCCCTCATTCTGTTCTGCGCTCCTAAGCCCGAGGGTAGGCTTCGGTTGACCCCGCCCAGGAAGAGCAGTGCCTCTCCCATGTGCTCAAAGCTGGGCTGGCTGGGTGCCCTCTGCCCTCCAGGCGGAGTCACTTCGCCCCGCTACTTGGGACCCTTGCCCCGGTTACAGGTTACAGAGGACTGCGGACTTTCCCGCTCTCCTATCCTGTATACACTGAGTTGGGGACCAACTCTCTGCCCCTTTGCAAGTAGTGTTGTAAATAAAAACCTCGACTTTCTCCTCGCTTCCCGAGTCCTTTCCCAGCCACACCCGCTCCACCCTTATGCCCTCCCACCCTGGTGGTGAGGAGTAGAGATCATGTTTAGAGAGGAAAGAAATTTACTGAGAACACCCTATGAACCCGGTATAGTACTAGGTGGCAGCACTTAACGGTTGAATGTTGACAGCAGGAGAAATTGAGTTCAAACCCCCGCACAGCTAACTCAGACGGGGTCACAAAGGGACTGTGTTAGCTAGGAAGAAGGTGGGCACCCCAGTGCCTGGGTCTGACTTCAGTCTTCCCTAGTCTCCCTGGCTCCACTCTTGGAAGAAGAGAAGGAGCAAATGCAAAGGGCCTGAGTCATCTGGGAGCTGGTAGGGCTGGGAAACAGAGGTAGCAGGGTCAGTCAGGGAGTACCCTCATCTCTGTGCCAGGGGCTAGGGGTACATTGATGAACAGGACAAATGTGTGCCACGCTTCCATATATACAAAAGGAAACAAACGCTTTAAAACTGCAAACCTGACCCTTGAAACTCTTGCCAGTAACTCCCAGTGTCCCAGCTCCTTTAACTGATTGGCTGCTTCACTTCATCTCACACCCCTGTTTTCACACCTCACCTTTTTCTCTTGCTCTCCTGTTGGGGCCCTCTCCTCCTCAGGACCACGCCCATCCCATTTGCTGAAGGAGCTCAGCCTGGACATCATCTCTTGCGCTGTTATGCATCCTGCAGCCCCTTTTATTATACTGACCACATGTGTACTAACAGAGCACATAGTATATGCCACAAGTGTAAGCACGTAGGGTAGGGGGGGCCCAGAGAAGAAGATGAGGCATGGCCTTCTTGACATGAGAAGCCATTTTTTTTTTGTTGTTGTTGAGAAGCCACTTTTTCCTAAGCCATTTTGTGATCTTAGCCTGGCCACAAGATTATCATTGACAGGTCTCAGTAATTAACGAGCTTAAGGAAGGGACACAGGAAAAGCAGTCAAGAAAAAATAGTTCAGTGATAAAATAGAGTCCAAGTTCCTCCTC